GGCGTGGTGGTGGGCGCCTGTAATCCCAGCTACTCGGGAGGCTGAGGCAGGAGAATCGCTTGAACCTGGGAGGCAGAGGTTGCAGTGAGCTGAGATTACACCACTGCACTCCAGCCTGGGCGACAGAGCGAGACTATCTTGGAAAAAAAAAAAAAAAAGAATGGCTGACCAGCATTTCTGATCCTGCTACCGGCCAAGCATGGTCCTAAGGGCTTTCTGTGTGTGGTTATCTTGTGGTTATCTTATCCAACCCGCTCATCAAGCCTGTGAGGTAGATATCACTGCTGTTCCCATTTTGCCGATGAGGAAGCTGAGGCTCAAAAGGGTTAAGTGATTTGCCCAAGGTTATCCAGCTATTGAGAACTAGAGCCAGGGCTGGGGCTGCAGCAGCCTGGCTTGAGCACTCACACCCTTAGCATCTTTGCAGTCCAGCCCTTGATGAGGTGGGCAGAGAAGCCCATTTCACAGAGGAGGATGCTGAGGACAAGGAGGTGCCATGGCTGGGCTGAGGCTGCAGGGTAAAGGGCATAGGGCTGGCATGGGCCTGGAGCACTGCCTGCCTCTGAAGACCCTGCACTTCTTGCTGTCTTATATCCTGGCCCCTGAAGGGGAGAGGACAGGCAGGAGGGACAGGGCAGCAGGTGCCAGCCTGACCCCTCCCCTGCCTAAACCCTCCACCCTCAACCCAGGCAAGACCACACCATTGTGGACACAGTGCTGATGGCGCCCCGCTCGGCCAAGCCGGCCCTGCTGAAGCTTACAGAGAAGCAGGTGGAACAGAGGGCCTTCCATGACCTCAAGGTGGCCCCTGGCTACTACACCCTCACTGCAGACCAGGGTAGGAGGCCGGGTCCCCTGTGCCACTGCCTCACATCTCCTGCCCATGTGGCCCCGTGACCCACCTCTGACCACCTCCCAACCCACTCAGACGCCCGGGGCATGGTGGAGTTCCAGGAGGGCGTGGAGCTGGTGGACGTACGGGTGCCCCTCTTTATCCGGCCTGAGGACGACGAGGAGAAGCAGCTGCTGGTGGAGGCCATCGATGTACCTGCGGGCACTGCCACCCTTGGCCGCCGCCTGGTAAACATCACCATCATCAAGGAGCAAGGTGGGTCAGGGTGGGGAGAGTGAGGGAGGCAGACGGGGGCTCAGGGGCACTGGTTCCTCCTGCGTAAGTGGAATTGCGACCTGGCCACGCTAGTCACTTAACCTCTGCAAGCCTTGGTTTCTCCATCTGTAAAATGGGTAAGGGCTCTTGTATGGAATACGGGGTTGTTCACCTCGCCAAAGTGCCTGGTGGTGAGCGCTCAGTAAATGGAAGCTTCTGTTGCATCCTCATAAGGGCCAGCCCCTTGCTCCTCTCTATCTAGAGGAGGGGTTGGCCAAGGCATGGCACCGTGGACATCTGACCCCTCCTGCCACCTGTGCCGGAAGCCACAGGCCTCAGGCCTGTTCCTGCTCTGCTCCAGCCCTGGGGCTGAGGGCTCCGTCTCTGGTCCTGCCTGTGCCTGGCCTCCCTCCTCTGCCTGGCTCTTCCAGGATGTCTGCTGGACACTTTGTTCCAGACCCACTTTTTTTTGTTTCTTGAGACGGAGTCTCGCTCTGCCACCCAGGCTGGAGTGCAATGGCGCCATCTCGGCTCACTGCAACAGCTTCCTCCCAGGTTGAAGTGATTCTCCTGCCTCAGCCTCCCGAGTAGCTGGGATTACAGGCGCTGGCCGCCATGCCCGGCTAATTTTTCTATCTTTAGTAGACATGGGGTTTCGCCATGTTGGCCAGACTGGTCTCGAACTCCTGACCTCAGGTTATCCACCTGCCTCGGCCTCCTAAAGTGCTGGGATTACAGGCGCAAGCCACTGCACCCGGTCCCTCACCTTTTTCTGGAAGGATTTTCCGTTTCGCTCCTGTGCTTTTCCCAGAGGGCAGTGCATGGAGGGAACCAAGTGGACTCATGGATTCTGGGCTGGGCTGGGCCGGGCTGCAGGAGAGCAGAAGGTGGGAAGGGACTGGGCCCAGCTCTGACCAGTGCCCGGGCTCCTTGCAGCCAGAGATGTGGTGTCCTTTGAGCAGCCTGAGTACTCGGTCAGCCGTGGGGACCAGGTGGCCCGCATCCCTGTCATCCGGCGCGTCCTGGACGGCGGGAAGTCTCAGGTCTCCTACCGCACGCAGGATGGCACTGCACAGGGCAACCGGGTGAGGCTCCACCATGGGGTCGAGGGTGCAGCCTGGGGGGCTGTGTGGGCGCTGCATTGGGTTCCCAGGACAAAGCAGTACATGGCAGCTGCTTGAGTCCCTGGATGCTGGCCATGCCCCTGGCTGGCCTCCCAAGGATATGTTCACCTGCTCCTGCCACCCTGTGGTAGGGAAGTCTCACCTGCCCAGGGTGCCAGTGACACCCTGGGTGAGGCTCCATTGCTGCCAGGGACTCAGGCCAAGAGGGCTCTTTCCTCCTTCATGGGCCAGGGACCTGCCCAGACCATTCCTGTCCCCTCCTGCAACCCAGGATCCACAGGGCAGCCAAACCTCTTGGAGATAAACTCCCGCTATATGCCCCAGTCCTGGGGGCTTTGGGCTTCTTGAGCTGGGATCAAAGACCCCATGTCCCCGGGCCAGACTCCTCAAGGGCTGTAACGATTTGCCCTCCCCTGGGCCAAGCAGCCGGAGCAACCATTCAAGGCAGGGAGTGCCGTGGCTGGGCCAGCATCACCTTCACTGCTGAGCCCCAGTGCTGGGGTACAGCCAAATCCAGGTGCACACAGGCTGGACTGGGTTTTAGGCTTCATAGTTTTGTTTCTCTTGTTTGTTTCGTGTGGGGTTTTTTTGCTTCTTATTTTTTTGGGGAGTCAGGGTCTTGTTATGTTGCCCAGGCTGGTCTTGAACTCCTGACCTCAAGTGATCCACCCACCTCGGCCTCCCAAAGTGCTGAGATTACAGGAGCGAGCCACCATGCCTGGCCTAGTTTTTGTGTCTTTAGTAGAGATGGAGTTTTGCCATGTTGGCCAGGCTGGTCTTAAACTCCTGATCTCAAGTGATCCGCCCACCTGGGCTTCCCAAAGTGCAGGGATTACAGGTGTGAGCCAGTGCACCTGGCTTTTCTAGTTTTTAAATGCTGGCAACAAATCCATAATTAAAAACAAAGGCCAGGCATGGTGGCTCACACCTGTAATCCCAGCACTTTGGGAGGCTAAGGTGGGAGAATCACTTGAACCCAGGTGTTCGAGACCCTGTCTACACATATAATGTAAACATGAGCTGGGCACAGTAGTGCATACTTGTGGACCCAGCCACTTGGGAGGCTGAGGCAGGAGGATCACTTGAGGCCAGGAGGTTTAGGCTGCAGTGAGCCATGTTCATGCTACTGCACTTCAGCCTGGGCAACAGAGTAAGACCCTCTTTAAAAAAAAAATTAATTAAAAAAAAAATCAAACAAAAAAACAAAGAAACAAAACCTGGTTCAGTGCAGTAGCTCATGCACGTAATCCCAACGCTGTGGGAGACCACAGTGGGAGGATCCCTTGAGCCCAGGATTTGGAGGCCAGCTTGGGCAACATAGTGAGACCCTGTCTCTACTGAAAAAAAAAAAAAAGGCCAGGCGAGGTGGCGTCTGCCGGTAATCTTAGTATTGTGGGAAGCCAAGGCAGGTGGATCTCCTGAGGTCACGAGTTCGAGACCAGCCTGGCCAATATGGTGAAAACATTTATCTACTAAAAATACAAAAATTAGCTGGGCATGGTGGCACGTGCCTCTAATCCCAGCTACCCGGGAGGCCGAGGCAGGAGAATTGCTGGAAACCAGGAGGTGGTCGCTGCAGTGAACTGAGATCACGCCACTGCACTCCAGTCTGAGTGACAGAGCGAGACTCCATCTCAAAAAAAGAAAAAAAAATTATCTCAAAAGTGATAAAGTCTCGCCTCCCTGGGCCCAGAGGCCCGTTCGGCAAACATAGGGGAGCATGTAGTCAGCAGGCCTGGGCTGCCTGGCCACATCCTATTTTTATTTACTTCTTTTTATTGATAGGAACTGTTCTCATTATTTTTCCAATGTCCCCCCATAAAAATTCCAAAGAATAATTTTTTTTTTAAGAGACAAGGTCTCCCTCTAGCCCAGAGTGGAGTACAGTGGCACAGTCCTAGCTCTCTACAATCTTGAACTCCTGGACTCAAGCAATCCTTCAACCTCAGCCTCCCAAGTAGCTGGGACTACAGATGTCCACCACCACACTGGCTAATTATTTTTTTTTTCTTTGAGACAGAGTCTCGCTCTGTTGCCCAGGCTGGCACGATCTCAGCTCACTGCAACCTCCACCTCCAGGGTTCAAGTGATTCTCCTGCCTCAGGCTCCCAAGTAACTGGGACTACAGGTGCGCACCACCACACCCAGCTAATTTTCGTATTTTTAGTAGAGATGGGGTTTCACCATGTTGGTCAGGCTGGTTTCGAACTCC